GGACAAGGGCTGAAGGGCGTCGCGTGGGCAAGGAGCTTGCGGTGGAGAACCCTCTAGCACGGGAGATGGCCGACGCTGCTGCCGACCTGGGCCTCCGGACTGTCTTTGAGCCTGACAAGACTCACCCCAAAGACTGGGCCAATCCTGGCAGAGTGCGCGTCCTTCTCAAGCACGAAGGAAAATTGATGGACGACGATGTGAAGAACAAGCATCATCTCTACATCCTCATCGCACAGGCCCTGAAAGCCAACCCGACACAGAAGAACACACCTTTCAGATTACCCATCGCGGGCCTACCTATGCCCAAGGAGATGCCGGAGCCAGCGATACCAAAGGGCTGGAAGATGAGCAAGATCCTCCCTCTACATTCACCTGCTCTAACGGGCGGTGGTGTCAGTGAGAACTTCCTACAGGATATGATGGGGGAGATGATGGGCGGCGAGGCAGGCAGCGGCGCAAGCAGCGGGACAGAATCGAAGAAAAAGATCAAGGACAAAAAGAAGAAGTAAACCAGCATCCCGGACCATCGCCATCGATGCGTCAGCGCTTACTTCGCCTAAATTAAACGCCAATAGTCCGGCAAATGTCACACAACCTGCGCCGCAGCCATGCATGGTGGAGGCTGTCGTCACATCCTACATGTCACTCCACCGCGCGCTTAGATACCATCCCGACATGAGCGACCAACGTCTCTTGTCGTGGAACCAGCGAATCAACACCATCTACAATCATACAGCAATGCCTCTTCGCTCAGTCCTAGTCGCCTTTGCGTGGCACTAACGCCTGCATTGCTTACATCTCCTGCGCTGCTCTTACATACATCATTCGTCTAGAATTTCTTTTTCGGCCTTCTGTCGACACGCGACTTGATCTGATTCGACATTTCATCAATATGCACACCGCTGCTTCAAAAGCTGTGTGCATTCTGCACATGGAAACCTCCTTGCAGCACTATGTAGCACTAGCTGCTGCATGTCCGCTATCGAATACTCCGACCGGCATGCGAAGTCCCGGTTTCCACGCCACTTGACAACAATTTTCCGCGTGATACCCTGCGTCTGATTATCTATTCTTACATAGCATGGCCACCTCACTGTACTTCCTGGTTGCGCATACGGATGTTCAAATACTACAGGATACTTGGTATACTTCTGCGTCATGTATGCATGCGGTTCAGTTCACGTGAGTGGCCCGCTACCCAGAACCGAGCCCCATTAGCTCACCGTTCAAGCTTTCAGCCTCGAAGTCTGTGACAGCTCCGCGGGCCGAGCAACGTTCTCTCGGAGAACAGTTGGTCTGCATATACCCTTGCACCCACACTACTTACTTCTCACCGGTAACGCGCCTCATTCGTCCGTTTCTTTTATTTTCTATGGCCTTGCATTCTTAGTCTGCTCGCTACTCCACCAGCTGCCCACCTCGCGTTTCTCGTATGGGACGTCAGACTTGGAATTGTTGGGCCAGGGGGGTACGTTGGTCTCGAGTGGTCGTGTTTACCGAGCCTCAGCCATGCAACCACTAGGTCGGGCCACACACACACACACACACACACACACAACGTACATGTATGCGAATGCGACACAAGATTTCGCAAGGCATCCAACTAAGCTGCAGCTAATGAGTATGTGCTCGTCGAACTCAGCCGTGTATACGACAGCACGGCTGAACTTGCCCGATCAGCAGCTCGCCACAATTCGAATCAGGTTACGTATGGAACAGCAGGTGCGCTTTACAATGGAAAGTCTACACCGATTGGAGCTCACTCGGACACCACCAACTGTGGCAGATTCTAGTTACATGACAAGACCCAGTCTGGCAGTGACTGTAGGTGGTGTCTTGCGCGCATTCAGCCTACCGCGATGGAGTGCCATCATACAATCGTGGGTTGAAGGAGCCCTGCATTCCAGGCCGCTCGTCTAGCCTCTAGGTGACCGTCTTGCGTTTGACTCGCATGTCGACTAAATCACTTTACAAACTATCATTTGTAGCGCCACTCGGTGTAATTGCCCAGCTGTTGGGTACACTGCATTACACCTACTATCCAATCTAGACAACGGAAAAATTGTCAGCGTAACACAGCATGAACAGCATGCGAACAGCCTCTCCAATAGCCAAATACCAAAAGAGGCACGTGAGTGGTCCGGGAAAAATAGCCGCAGCCAGTACACATCAGCACACATGCCAACATCGGTGTAAATGGGAACATTGAACTACCTGTTTATAGTCGCCACCGAAATTTCAGAGCCAATCATGGCCGATCAGGTTTAAAACATTCATCCATACCCACTGAGGAAGGGACGCAACCACCGGCCCGCCAGGTAAATGCAAAGGTGCCGTCCGCGTCTGAGGGTGTGCTTCCGGGCTAAGCGATGTCGAGCAGCTGCCGTTCTCCGAGCAGCTTGCGCGAATCGCCGAGTCACCGTCACAGTAGCTTGTATACACCCATCGCCAATATGTCATTGCTAGATGTATATCGACGGCAAGTGACGGGAACGCAGCTACATTGGTACCTACGCTTCATGAGCCTGCAAGATTGTTCGATTCGGCTTTCAACTTGTCTGTAGTTGTTACTCATATCTTATCACAATGATAACTACGTCTTACTAACACTACACAATGACACAGAATCTGTGTTGAACATCACAAGTTACCTAGAAAATATTTCTAGGTTGGACTCTGCATTGCGATCAAAGCTGTGTACCTGCTGAGGTTTAGTGGTGTGCATGCAACAAAGTGCGATACAGAATCTATGCTCCGCTACGCCTACCAAACTAGTAATCTAGCAAGCTGAGCGAACCGCGACCTGTCTTCACGATCAGGAGAGCCGAGATGATGGCACGCCGGCTGAAAAGGGACATCGGGTATGCACCCAGGCCGATGATAGCTTTCGCGCTATATTATGCAGTCTTCTAAGGAAGAGTGACGGTCGAGGCCTGAAAGCCTACGACGACAAGCTGAGCTTGAAGATCAAGAAGATCACCGTTCTTAAGCAGGAGTGACGGGACTTTGAACAGTCGGGTAAAGTCTACATTACCTTGAAGCAACACACGCAACTCTTATAGCTTCGGGGAGGGCACTTCGGTCATTGGCATGCTTCAACGGGTTTTGCATATATGCTTTGCTACACTGCAACTTTCGCTAAAGATATTCATATCAGCGACACGAGAACATACGACAACTAGGTAGATATGGTACGGATAACTTTCGAAGCGTTAGCCCTTAAAAACCGACTTTAGGGAAGTAAGCATGGACCTCGACTAAAAAGCATCAGAGCGCATGTTGCATAAAGCATCGGCCCATGATGCTTAGATCGCCTTTTAGTGCCAGGAGGTCCGCATTTCGTCCGCGTGACACAGACATGGACGTCATCCGCGAAGATTTAACTCGCGTAGTTTACGAAAGATCGTCCTACCCGGGAACACTGCCAGCCTAAACATCGCTACCGGAGCCATCAGAACCCGGAGCCGACTTGAAGACGAAGGTCGGCTGGTAAGAGTCAAAGCGTATGGCGCACCAAACACCGCACGGTACTCCCTCATGCATGTATTGCCGACTGTCAGAATACTCGTCGGTAGCAATCCATAGCTCCTCTCAGCTTCCATCCAAACCCGGACTTTCCACTTCACCTAATCCACCGACCTCCTCGCCGCAACGCTACTTACTGCATCTTGAATCCAATTCCCAAGTTCCCCGCCTCAACATACACGTCGTCGCGATGAACCGCCCTCACGATAAACCGCGCTCACAAAGTCTTCTTCGTCCTTGCAGTAGTATCTGGAGAGTAACGGCTGCTGATGCCAGGTTGATGGAGGTGTTAATTTCGAGGTTTCCGTACTCCAGTAAGACTCCGCACATGTAAGAGTTAATATGTTCAGGTAGAAATCGAGATCAGGAGCGGTAGCAATGAGCTATATGCACTACTACCTGGGTACTGACTCACGGTGTGCGCGCTCCCATCATGGTACTGCATTGCGATGATGAGCCGCTCACAGCCGCCGCCTTCTAAACGACGAAGAAACGAGAGAAGTTCTTCGACGAGCTAGGGATAAGATACAAGTTCGCAGTCGAAGCCCAGTTTTACATCTGACTCATGGCTCAGATGGAGAGCGATACCTAAGTGCTGAAGTCTTTCTCGCAATGAAGATAAAGTGCGCTTTTGTCTCAGGATAGGGCCTGGTCTTACTTAAGTCTCTTTATTTACACGGTACTTTCTTTGATGATGTGCACCGGTGAAGTCGTTCCTGCCAGCTACCTGGGCCGCGGCGCTGGGTCCACTCTCCTCGATCTTTGACCCACTTCTTGCGAAGACCAATTTGAAGTCCAGGCCTACTGATGGGGTTCTTCCATGTGCATAGAAGCAAACATACCTACGTTACCTGCGAACACCCGGTTCGGCTGTGGGTATCTGACATGATTCGGGCCTAATACAGAGGCAGTAAGGCTTAGCTCACGTTCACCTCGACAACCTTCTGATGACGAATGCCAATAGTGCAAGCTCTATCCCGGGCCTATAGAACACGACAGGCAAAACAGTCGCGGGCGGCTAAGGACGGAAGCGCATGAATTGTTGAGGTGTCACGGTCTAAGCCACATGGCGGCGGCATCTGGGGTTGTGTTCCTGGCACGCCTGAGCAAACAAGGACAGGGGTGCGGGGTTACCATAACAACGCCCGAAGAAACAACACCACTGCATGCGCCTCCGCCGCATCACTGCTGGGGAAAGTAACTATTACACCCTTTTTGAACACATCCATATCGCATTGTTGCCCATTGCAATCACTTCTCCAGTGTCACGAATAGCGACGGCACTTTTCTATACCCAATCTGAATTTTCGCGACGCATACACATAATGGACGGGTCCACACCACACAGTGGTTCACACTATGGACGGCCACCTGCATATGACTATGATGACGGATCCCCTCAGCAACTACAGGGAGGATCAACCATGCGTTTATTGACAAACGTGGACGAGGACCAAAGTTACGAACAGAGCTACATGCCGTGAGTATTTGTCTCACTCTTTTCCCCCCATCCACTTGCGTCCCGCATACGGACCCAATCTCATTCCCCACCAGAAGATCGTCTTTCGAGGACACTTCAAACATGTCGAATGCCAACAGCAACACGGCTGAATTGGGCGAGCGCATGACCATGTCTGAGGTCGGCAAGCAGAAGGCTGCCGAGGCGGACATCCACGACTTCCTGCGCGAGGCGGGCGATGCGCTGAGTTCGACGTCGAGCGCAGCAGCAATGCCTGCGCAGATGCCGCGACGGAAGACGATCAAGTCGCAGTTCGATACGACGCCCTACAAGACCGTACGGTTACAAGACCCAGACTTACCATTACTTTCTTCCCGCAGACCTCCATCGCCAGTATCGCGATCATACCACCCCACAAATTCCTCAGTATCCGGCTTATCACGGACGCCGTCAGTGATGGATACCGCGCCGAACATGCCGCCGCCGGGAGAGGACCCATACGTACCATACCGACGGCCGCTGTCGCCCGACCGACCATATTCACCCACGCGCACATCAGCCGACTACTCGCGGCCGCCAGCGTCAGTCAACTCATACGAGCCAGTGGATCTTCATGGCAGCCCACGGCCAGGCAGCCCTCAGCGGCCACTACCACCTCAACCCTTGTTCACCGGCCGTAGACCAAACTCCCGCGGCTCCGAGGGCACCATGGACATGACTGATATGACTTCGATACCCATTCACGACGATGACGACCCCTTCACCGACATTGGCGACGACCGACCCGACCTGCGATCGCGCGACTCGTACATGACCGATGACACATACACAGACATCTACACCGAGATAGATGAGAAGGCAGAGCACTACGGGCCGGCTCCCGATGGCGCACAAGAGCGACGTGGAGCGCGCGACGCTGTAATGACAAAGAAGGAGGTCCGATTGATCAACGGTGAACTCATTCTAGAGTGCAAGATCCCGACCATCCTCCACAGTTTCCTTCCACGACGAGACGACATCGAGTTCACGCACATGCGATACACAGCCGTGACATGCGACCCAGACGACTACTGTGATCGTGGATACAAACTGCGCCAGAATATCGGCAACCCGCGCGAAACCGAACTTTTCATCGCCATCACCATGTACAACGAGAACGAGATCGACTTCACCCGAACAATGCACGGTGTCATGCAAAACATCAGTCACTTCTGCTCCCGAATGAAGTCAAGAACCTGGGGAAAGGACGGATGGCAGAAGATCGTCGTATGCATCATTGCGGATGGTCGCGGAAAGGTTCACCCGAGAACACTCGACGCGATCGCTGCCATGGGATGCTTCCAGGAAGGTATCGCAAAGAACCACGTCAACCAGAAAGAGGTCACTGCCCACGTCTACGAATACACAACCCAAGTCTCGCTGGACTCAGACCTCAAGTTCAAGGGTGCTGAGAAGGGCATTGTGCCCTGCCAGATGATCTTCTGCTTGAAGGAGAAGAACTCAAAGAAGCTGAACTCACATCGTTGGTTCTTCAACGCCTTCGGCCGCGCACTCAACCCGAACGTCTGCATTCTACTCGACGTAGGAACCAAGCCTGGACCCAAAGCTCTGTACCATCTATGGAAGGCCTTCGACACCGACTCCTCCGTCGCAGGAGCTGCAGGAGAAATCAAGGCTGGCAAAGGCAAAGCGTGGCTTGGTCTGCTCAACCCGCTTGTCGCATCGCAGAACTTCGAATACAAGATGTCCAATATCCTTGACAAGCCATTGGAGTCAGTGTTTGGCTACATTACGGTCTTGCCAGGTGCGCTTTCTGCATACAGATATCACGCGTTGCAAAACGATCACACAGGCCACGGTCCTCTTAGCCAGTACTTCAAGGGAGAAACGCTCCATGGTCAAGATGCAGATGTGTTCACCGCAAACATGTACTTGGCTGAAGATCGTATTCTGTGCTGGGAGCTTGTAGCGAAGCGCAGCGAGCAATGGGTCTTGAAATACGTCAAAGCGGCGACTGGTGAGACGGATGTGCCAGGTAAGAACTAATCATAACAATCCTCTCCACGGCCAAAACTAACATGCCTCAGATACCGTACCCGAGTTCATCTCTCAACGTCGTCGTTGGCTGAACGGAGCCTTCTTTGCGGCTGTCTACTCACTGCTTCACTTCAAGCAAGTCTGGGCCACTGACCACACCATCGGCCGCAAGATCCTGCTTCACATCGAATTCGTCTACCAGTTCGTGCAACTCCTGTTTACGTTCTTCTCGCTTGCCAACTTCTACCTGACCTTTTACTTCGTCGCCGGCTCACTGTCAGACCCGGAACTGGATCCCTTCGGCCACAACATCGGAAAATACATCTTCTACATCCTCCGCTACACATGCACGCTGCTCATCTGCATGCAATTCATCTTGTCTATGGGTAACCGACCCCAAGGTGCCAAGAAGATGTTCTTCTGGAGTATGGTCATGTATGGTGTCATCATGGCTTACACTACCTTCGCGTCCTTCTACATCGTCATTGTCCAACTCAAGGATCCGAAGGCGGAAAAGACCATCGGGGCCAATGTGTTTACCAACCTTATCATCTCGACTGCGACAACGATTGGTCTCTACTTCCTCATGTCCTTCATGTACCTGGATCCATGGCACATGTTCACTTCGAGTGCGCAGTACTTTGCCCTCCTACCATCATACATCGCCACACTTCAAGTTTACGCCTTCTGCAACACTCACGATATCACTTGGGGAACCAAGGGAGACAACGTCGCGAAGACCGATCTGGGAGACGCCAAAGGAAAGAAGAAGGACATTGTGGAGCTTGAGATGCCATCAGAGCAGCTGGATATCGACAGTGGGTATGACGAGGCGCTTCGCAACCTCCGTGACCGTGTCGAAGTTGTCGAGCCCCCGATCTCCGAGTCGCAGCAACAGGAAGACTACTATCGTGCCGTGCGTACCTACATGGTGGTCATATGGCTCATCTCCAACGCTGTCCTCGCCATGACTGTCAGCGAAGCCTACTCGGACCGCAAGGTGACGAACAACTTCTACCTTACCTTCATTCTCTGGGCTGTCGCTGGTCTCGCCTTCTTCCGTGCTATTGGTTCAACCACTTTCCTCATCATCAACTCTATCCAAGCCATCATGGAGACGAAGCTCAAGTGGGAGGACAAGATCGACGACAAGAAGAGCAATAGAACTGGTCTTGGAGGTGGCCGCAAGTACGGAAGGAACAAATGGTGGAAGTTTGGATTTGGCGGCGGCGGCGTATCGTCGAGTTGGTTCTCGGGCAGCACGATTTCGAGTAAGCTTAGTAGCATGACTCCCAGTAACTGGGGTGGAAGCAGTGTCGGAAGATAGGTATACCCAGGGTAAGGAAAGGGCGGTAATGTGGTTTGTACTACGACTTCACGATGGACTGATGTTTGGCGTTCTGGATACACACTTTGGGATGATACCTGAGCTGGGCTGTCGAGCTCACTCCAGTGTAGTAAATAGCTTCTTGTGAATAATAACGATTCTCTCATATCGGCTTTGATCAGAAATAATGTTACCTTGGTGAAGATGTTGCCGCCTGTTCTGGGGTGACGCGCTGGGTCAGGAAGGCACGCTAGGGTCGTGTGTTTACATCCATCCCACTCCCGCTCCCATCCCGCCGCGCACGCAACCGGCGCAACACTCCCCACTTGCCTACCCAGCATACCGACGAGACCGAAATGGCGCCCAGAAGTAAAACCGCGAACATCTCCTTCACAGTCGACTCGGCCTCGGAAGACGAAATGACGGTCGACGAGCTCAATGCGCTTCCCACGCCCGAATCCACCAGCGACAAACCCGCGCGAAAAACGCGTGGAACTGCTGCGCAAACCAAGAAGACGGCTGCGGCGACCAAGGCGACTGCTAAGGGCAAGCCGGCGACGCGTCGGACGAGCGGTACAACCGCGGTGGCTATGAAGAAGAGCGCGGCGGCTGGCGCAAAGAAGGTAGCGGCGAAGGGCGGTCGCAAGGCACAGGCGGAAGTCGAGGAGGCCAATGCGAGCGACACGGAGGAGGTAGAAGACTTTGAAGAGCCGGAGCCGGTTGCGCAGGCCAAACCAGCTAAGAGAGGCAGGCCAGCGAAGAAGGCGCAAGAAGAGGAGGTCGAAGAGCCAGCGCCCGCGCCAGCAAAGAGAGGGCGCAAGGCAGCTGCGAAAGAACCCGCTGAGAAGAAGGAGACGAAAGCGAAGCCTGCGCCAAAGTCAAGAGGAACGAAACGCGCGACCGAGCCAGAACCCGAGCCTGAGCCCATGACAATCCCCGAGACACAACAAGAGCCAGACGCAGACACAATGGACATCGAAGACTCGATTGAAATGGGAGAGGAGATACCTGAAAGCATGCCTCCACCACAATCACAACCTTCCGCACGGCGAGCGCAAGCCCAACCGAACAGCAGAGCGCGCCGAACATCAGCATCGCGGAAAAGAACAGGAAGCGTGTCAGACTCCGAACGCGACCCAGTGATGCGGCGGAAGGTCGGTGACCTCACCCGGAAGCTCGATGCCATGACCGCCAAGTACGAAGCGCTCAAGGAATCTGCGTCAACAGGCAAAGAATCGAACTTTGAGCAGCTTAAGAAGCGGACTGAGCAGATTGCCAAAGGTACGGCCCTTCAAATGTTATGAGATGAGGGAGCTTGTTGCTAACACGACAAACAGACCAAGACGCCGTAATCAAATCCCTAAAAACGCAACTCACCGACCTCCAATCCCGCACCTCGACCCTCACAACCCTGAAGAAAGACCTCGCAGCCTCCACAAAGGAAACTAGTCGTCTCACGGCCGAGAACAAGAAACTCGCCGACGCCCTCGCGACCGCGCAGAATGAGAGCAAGACGCTGTCTAGCAAGCTCGCGGCCGCCCGTTCTTCTTCGCAACAACCCGAGACAAAGAATGTGCCTGGTAGCGCGGTGAAGGCTAGGACAACAGGAGTGGTATTGCCGGGTACCGCGGAAGCAGCCAAGGAAGCGACACTCGCAAAGCAAAAAGTGGATTTGTATAGCGATCTGACGAATCTGGTTGTTCTGGGCGTGAAGAGGAGTGAGGATGAGGAGGATGTGTTTGATTGTTTGCAGACGGGGAGGAATGGGAGTAAGTTATCCCCTATCTTTCCCATCCGCTTTCCCATCCCCCTACCATTTCCCCTGCATTGTTGTACTAACGTTCCCACAGCTCTCCACTTCCACCTCACAGTCGCCACCTCGGGCTCCTCCTACGAGGAAACAGAGTTCATCTACCAGCCCCTGCTTAACGAACAACGAGACAGGGAACTACTGGACTTGTTGCCGGATTATCTGACCGAGGAGATTTGTTTCCCCAGGGCGCAGGCGGCGAAGTTTTATTGCAAGGTTGTTGATAGTATGAGTAAGAAGATTGTGCTTGAAGAGGATGGGGAGTAAGGTGGGATGGATGTGCGTGGGGATGAGGAAGAAAAGGATGGATGAGAGGGGGATGAGAAGGGCGGAGGGAAGCAAAGAGGAGGAGCAGGTTGGATGCGTTCTCCTTGTCATGTCATGGATTAGTTACGAGGGCTTTATACCAGGTTGATTACATCTTTCTGCTTGTTTGTTAAGATCGCAAATACCCAGTCAAGTTCACGTTTTATCAGTCGTCTCCCATTGGCAGTGACAGCAGCTATTCTCTATGAATGTGAGGAAGGTGGATAGAGTCGTTCCAATGCTTGCTTGCTTGTTTGTTGGTACAATCGGCGCATATGTGTCTACACTGTCCCGTATCCTCGAGACACACGCGCGTTTATCCGACGATATATCCGATTCCGCTACACATGTTCTCGTCTATCATTCACCACACTCGATTTCCCTCGATCCGAACGGTATGTTGGGTTGTATCGTGTTTATTGCTTTCCTTGGACCTTGTCGGCGGCTTTCTTGACGTACTCCCTGTTGTAATGTGTTAGCCCTAGTCCTCACATCTATTATCGATTCCAGCAACAGCCTCCCTGCTCCGTCGCAAGAGCTCGTGCCGCAACGACTGCATGGATGTGCGTAGGTTTGTGGATATGTAGTGTGTACGCACTTGACAAAGTTCTCCTCATCAGGGCTCTTCGCGTTGATCGGGGGAGTGGTAGGGTCCTCAGCCTTCTTGCCGCCCATGGAGAGCGCAGCACCGGTGAATGTCACGCCGAGGGTGGCCATTGCGAGCTGTAGAAACGTTCGTTAGCCTGTGTTCTCATATCCCCCAAATGAATCCCATTATCCCCAATTGATCCTCTCCAGCCCCAGAGTCGCCGAGAAAGTACGGGCAGAGCATGCGCCGCACTGCAGTTGTTCGCAACTTCCCAATCCAAACTTTTCCTCCTCTCGACATGCGGAAAAGGCAAGAACATACGACGTGCGATCCGACCTGACGGCCCATAATAGTGTACATAGCAACCATGTTTGCGGTATTCGAGAGTTTTCCGTGCCGTAAGCGGGGTGATGCGTCGTCAATGGATGGAGGGTGGAGGTAAGAGAGTCGTGGGGTGGGTGCAAGCGTTGCCGGGTGCTTGCGCGGAGCTCTCTTCGGAAGAGAAGATGGGGCTTGGCGGGCTGTGGCTGGAGTGTGGCGCAGATGGGAAGGAAAGAGCAGGGATCTGGTGGGTGGCTGGTGGCCGGTGGTTACGAAGCGATTTAGTGGGTGTGACGTCTGTATGCGGCTACCGAGGTGGTGTGAGTGCGTTGGGGAGCGTAGGCAGTAGCGGTACCGAAGAAGCATGGGGTGGTAAGCTTAAGCTATCAGCGCTTGCTCGATTACCTGTTCTTGTTCTCTTTCTCTTCGCCTTTTTCTCTTTAGTAGTACGACGCGCACGCAGCTGGTTATTAAGAGAAGGAATTGAGCAACACAGCGACCATGGCGAAAGACAGCAACAAGAAGATCGAAGAGGTCGATGGTGTGCCTATAGAGCGACAAGGCGCGCGACCAGACTTCTCGATTCCACCGCCGAGGAAACAGTTACCGAAGGAGCTTCAGGATACACTCAATGATGAGGAGAAGTTGTGGGAAGTGCTTTATGATGGCGAGTATGTATACATCCTCAATCCCATCCCCACGATTGCCAGCAATGCGCCTACTCTCTCCTCCTCTCCACGATATGGATAGCTAACATAGTGACAGAGGCGAAGACACAACAGACACCTCCCTCCGCTACGCCGCCTACGCCTCGCGCATCCGCACCATCATGCTCTCCGCCCACCGCTACGTAGCCTACACCTCCGACATAGGCGAATCCTTCCGCCCCATCGCACATCCCTACCTCGTAAAAGGCGCCTACGGTATCTCCTGGCTCTACCTCATGGGTGACGTCTCGCACGAAGGCTACAAAGCGTACGTTCGCAACCAGCGCATACTGCACCCAGAAAAGTACATAGACGACGCCGCAGAGAAGAGCCTGGAGAACGTCACGAGTAAAGATAGGGATATGGCGGCGACGGGTGGCAAGAGTAATGCGGCGGGTATCTTTGATAAGGTGCAGGAGGCTGCGAAGCAGGCGACGAGTACCGAGGGGGTTAAGTATGGGGATGCGGGGAGTGCGTTGACGGGTGGGCAGGTGGTTGGTGGACGGATACCGGCGATTGAGGATTACAGGGCTGTTATGGCACAGAGAGCTGTGTTCCAGGCTGTTGCGAGTATGGGTCTGCCGGCTTTTACTATTCATAGTATTGTGCGGTACTCTGGGCGTGCGCTGAAGGATGCGAAGAACAAGACGTTGAGGACGTGGGGGCCTATTGGGGTAAGTGGTTCTGTCGAAGTAAATTGGAAGGAGAGTAAGATGCTAACGATACGATAGCTTGGTCTCGCGGGTGTACCTTTCTTGCCCTACATTTTCGACGAGCCGGTTGAGCATGCGACGGAGTGGCTGTTTTATAATGCGTTCAAGACGTTTGGTGGTGAGAAGGCGGTGGAGGGGAGGCCGGCGACGGGGGTTAAAGAGTTGAGGAAGGAGGAGACGGAGGCGAATAAGTTGAAGAAGGAGTTGTAGAGGGCTTGAGAGGTGGACACACGACATGCGTAGATATCACGATACACGCTATACACTCTGTATGAATGTAAATATGAGATTCTTCTCTTTGAGAAGCTTGAAATAAGACCAGATGTGATTCCATTCATATATACGGGTATCTTTGCAATGGACCAAGATCATTCTTTCAAGAGATTCATTGCGCTGATGCTCAAGCCTTTCCTCTCTTCGCTCCCTTCTCGCAAGCCTCTGTAAACACCCTCAGCAGCTCAGGGAAATCGCACACATTCATCGACTCAAACGCAGGATTCTTGTCGACCTTCAATGCACTCATACGCGGACTCTTGATACCAAACGCGAATTTG